AGTTACAGAAAAATTGTATTAATATTAAATATTTGAAATTAACCAAATGTAATCATCTGAACCTAATGGCCAATGCTACTCACGGATGGAAGAGTGGACGGTTGAGAGGTTGAGGGAGATAATTAAAGGGGATGAAGGATCATCAGGATCTCCATCCATTTGCATTACTCCGCGAAACGAAGGGCCAAACTTGTTAAGGGTTGCTGTGGGTTGAAAACGGTGATTCACTCTTCAAGCCACCCGACTGTAGGGACTTTGGTACAAAAAAGGGCCTTTAATTGAATATCGTTTACCTGTAGTCAATTTTACGCATTGACATTGAATAAAAGAAGAAAATATCAAGGACATAAGGAGAAAAAGTAGGATAATCTGCTTTCGAAGATTAAATGATTTTATACTTAAAACTTTTACTAATAGTAATTTAGATTTTTGTTCGGGAACTAAAAAATGATTTTCGATTTTTGCAATGACCATCAATACGATTTGTCGAACTATATAATTCCATGTTCAATGGTATCAAGGTAATGCCCATATTCACTCCCTTTTTAATCAGAGATAAAATAATCAAAAATCACCCCTCTTATCAAAACGCGTGCTAGGGTTTTGTTTTGATGCTTTTAACCCTTTACAAAATGCAGCATTATTTTTAAGTTAAATCTGTGCTTTGTTTGTAAGATTAATGGATATTTTAAATTACATATTGAATCATCAAATCCCTATATTAAGCATGAAGGATTAAAAATGCAAGTCTGAGCTTGTTTTATGAAAGGTACAAATCACTGCATTACAGGCAAACAATTCTGTACTATTTATGTATTCGCGCTGTAGTCTGTGTGTGTTTTTTTCATCCTGATGCCTAAACTATTTACGACCATTCCAACCGATATTTCAGGAGGGAGAGTTCGAATGAACTCCGAATGAAACTTTAATTTACTGTCCGTACGTATATTTATTTTGTTTAGCCCTAAGGGCGGCAGGGCTTCGCCACACTGGGAATCAACAAGCAGCCGGCAATTTGTTTCGGCCGTGTCAAATATACTAAGGGCACATTATACTTACAAATTGCGAAACGTCAGTTCCTGCAAACTGCCAACCCTTTCGAAAAGCACAAAAAACCTTGCTCCAATTAGAGCAAATTATCAGAGACGGAAACTATCCTAAGTGTATTGTTCATATACATGATGAAATTTAAACACAATCACTGTTTGTTTAAGTTTAGGATTATTTTGAATATATTTCAAGCATTTCTCATAAATTTTCAAAAAAAACATGATTTGCTTCAAGAAATTGTATTCTAATTAAATTATTGACTACTACATTTTTCCAAATTAGTTATAGCATTTCAGTACAGTGAAAAAAAACTTGATTGTCGGTTACGAACAATTCATATAACGATCCAGCTATGGACAGATTAGGTACGTTAACCGAACTGCAGTATATTTTGTTTATCTATGTTAAGTTTGAAGGGTTAAACTTCTTATCTTTGATCTTCAACCCTTATTCTGAAACTATACTTATATTTGTGTTTGTAGCCTTGAGGTATATTTCTTTGACGTTTCCCAATTTGAAGTTTCTCATATCTGAATGTTTGATATTTCTATGTAAACATATTTATTAGGACAGAAAAACATTTGGTCAATTTTTAATGATTTCATTTATAATACAAATGAAAATAATTAATTAATGAAGTGAAAACAAAGAAAAATGTTTAAAATGAGTAATAAATAAATTATAAGTTGATAAAATTTACTTATTTATTTTATTATTTTATAAAAAATGTTGTATTTCTTACACAATGGAACATTATAGTACCATTTATGGAAACAGGCTGAACTCACTGATCAATACTTATGAATTACTTCCCTATATTTCTTTATTACATAACTTTCTATTATTATCAAAGTTTAGAAAACTAACCAATAAATATAATATTTTATTGATCTATTTTTTTTTTCAAAGTAATCTAAACAATATTTTTTAGTGAAGACAATGAAAATCATGTATTTACTTATATTATTGTATAATTTAGTAAATTATTTAACTAATTTAATTTGCACTAATTTATTTCTTGGAACAAATAATTTAACTCGAAGATAATCAGAATAAAAATATCACCAAAAGTTTTGTTTTTGTATATAATGTATCACATCTGAATGTAAATCTTGTGGTAAATTCATTTCAATATATCGAGTTTATCTTTGCACGTCCCAAATGTGAACATAAAAGAAATTTATTAACTTCGGACTTAGTTCTGAATCCACTTCGACAATCCATGCTGCTGGTATTTACGCCTCTCGTAAACCGTCTGTTCCCTTTTAATGCTTCACCAAGTTCATCTCATCCTCAATAGAAACTCATATTATTACCAAATAAATATACATAACAAGAAACGAAATACATTACATAATATATGTATTCACAATACATCAAGTATAACTCGTTTAATATTGAATAATTAGGTAAACGTGTTATATGAGTATTTTCCTATTATATTGCGCGTTGTACCAGAATCGTGTTATAATAATTAATATGTATTCGTTTCTAATTAGCAAAATCTTTCTGTCGATGTATTCAAATTATTTATTTTGAGTTTTATTAGTAAATTTAATTTTGTTGTGTAAGATTTACGAACTTGTGTATATAATAACTAATGTGATTGTATCTAGACTAAATCAAAATTTTCTATGATATAAGAAGAACTCGCTTAGGAAGAGTTAGTAATTGTTATGAGGAAACTGTCTTCAAGTTATTTGTTTTTAAAGTTATATTGAAAGGATATGGCACAACAGAGCAAAAGCAAGTAATAAATATCTGTCAGCATTCTAAGGATGATGAACAATGCTTTTTCGTACGTTGTCAGCAGAAAAATAAATTGCAATCTTCTATTGAATAATTGATGATTCCCGATTGCTGAGTTCCACATCAATAGTGGCATTAACTAGGTATAGAATTGTATAAGATTAACATTGTCTTTGTAACTTTTATTAATGATTTTTTTCATACTCTTTCTTCTTACTACATTGATTTATATTATTATAAAATAATTTATTTTACAACAGAAAACTATGTATGCATAGTTTGTTAAGTTTATTCAAATTTTATTTATAATATTAGTTGTATAAGAAAGAAGATTTCATAAAATCTAGATGGAATTTGTAGAAAGAATACATACAAAGAGATGGGTTGGAGAATAAATTTTACATTCAAATATTGCAGGAAAGAATAATAAAAATGAATAGACACCTGCATACAGAAAAAGGGAAATGGTATAAGGAAAAAAAAGAGAACGGCAATAAAATAAAATGGAGATGGAAAACTGTGTATGAAATCGTGTGAAAAATGGCATGTTTTGTTGCGCTTCGTGAGGGTGAAGGCGGCGCGGCGGCTGCAATCGATTGCCACCCCAGGACAGTAGTTTTGGAGCAAGGACCAGCGACAGGATAATTCGCAGATTTAATAAGAGCTGCCCCCAGGATTCAGGGGTAACTATTTATGCGACGCTAGGGGAATAATTATTTGAACAGGTCACCGCTCCTTGGGTACGCAACAGCCCGTTGTTTCGACCCAGATTTACCATTTTCATGGGTTCTGAATAAATAGATTTCACGTAACCGGTCTATAAACGGAAAACATAAATTGGAAGGAATCAAGGGAAAAAAACATAAGGTCTGGATCCTTTTTACGTGGAGAAAGTCTTTCATGTTCGAATTGCCACTTAATGGTGAACACGACTTTGTTGCTCTGCAAATACAGAGTCGAAGTCAAAAGGGCGCAATCACTTTGACCCGGCTGCGTCTGAGCATTCCGACGGAATGTTTTCTTTTGCTCTGAGAAATTATTAATTGCATGTTTATCCTGCAGATAAATCCTCCCACAGAGGATGCAAAAGCGAGTGAGGTCTTAATGAAGGATCTTCGGATTCACTTTTTACATCTGCTGTCTCATTCTTAATCCCTTAACACTGTATCATCCCTATAATCACCGTTCCCTTTATTACAGCATTGTTAACGCTTTGGTTTCTAACACTTCGCATGTATATGTAAATATATACATGATGAATATAAATATTACAACATTATTTTTTTCAGAACTTTTTTTTTCTTGAAAATTCTAAAGCTAGGAATATATTTGATGATGCGGTGAGATTAAATGGATGCAGGCAGGATTGCATAACGAGGCGAACGCGCCTGCAAAAGGCCGCAGGGCCGATTTTAACCTTCATCTTTAAAAGTCTAATTGGAGTACGCATTTTCGTCGCTACGTGCAGCGGACTTACGTAACGCATTGCGCGCTTTTTAAAATCATGTGAAACTAGTTTCATCAATGCAAGATTATAAAATAAAATACACAAAAATTGGGCGCAGAATTAATATAATCAGATAACACCGCCTTGCATAACATTTGATGTTTTCCAGATATAAAGAAATATCTTAGTTTTCTTAAATTTATTTATATAATTGTAAGACAAAAATATGATTTACGATTTGTGGGTAATTTTACAAATATAATTAAAAACTAAGGTTTAATTAATATCTTGATCTTTGACATTGTTTATTTAAGAAAATATGAACACTTATATTTCAAAAGTTATGAGTTTCCAATTTGTATAGTTTAAAAAATAATTGTAATCAGAATTGTATTATTATGTGATTCTATTGTAATCACTTAAAAAAGTATACTTTTATATTGACATTTTACCCACAAACGGAAACTTACATTTAGAACGGCAATAGTCTTTAAAGGGTGTATAATAATTGGGGCGAATGTAACAAAAACAAGTTGGAATTACAGCATTAAAAGTCGAATTTACGCGGCAACAAATCGGGGATAAACCGGAAACCGCGTTCCGCCGCTAGGGCAGGTGCTGGATGGAGTACACAAAGGGCGTAATAAAATGAATCTTTAAGACTCCATAAAATCGCGAGCGCTTAGTTTATGGACGCGAATTCGGCGTAAATTTTATCGGCCATCGATGCGGTATAGTATGGATATAAGTTTACCTTGAACAGCCTAAGGATGTTGGCAACCATGATGGAAACGACGCTAAACGAGGCACCGATGACTGCAGTGACAGGTTTATGCGGGACATACATGGGGGGTCCTCCTGAGGCGCACTTGTATTCGGACATATCCTGGAAAGGAAAGAAGAAAACAAATGGAACAAGATTAGTATAATAGAGAGAATATAGTGATAGCTTTACTGGAGCAACAAAACGTCCATACAATCAGTGAGCTTTGAAAGTTACTTTTGTGTATATTGGGTACATACATTTATCGAGCAACACATACAGGACGAAGAGATAGGTTATAACTAAACTGGAAGGATTAATGCTATTCCATGAAATATCTAGATAAAGTATAAAATGTTTATAAGTAAAAAATAATATGAAATATTTCATGAAATAACATATACTTTATGTTGGATGCGGATTACAATAATTTAACCACACCACCAATTCGATTACGTAACTGCGATTTGGAAGAAGAAAAACAAGAATATAGGACGATGAAGATCCTTTTTAATGGTAATACTGCAAAGCTACATTTAATGTCCTCATTTTCTTTTGCTCGCTTTACCGAACAAAACCAAAAAAAAATTGAATATACATAACTATAAGGGAAACCGAGGCATTTACCCAAAGGACTTTTTAATCCTTTCGCAGGCAAATGAGCCTACAAATACAAATGAATTATTATCAAATCGGCGCACGCGGAGGCTATAACCATTACATGTAGCAGGACTATGCATTATGTTTCACAAGGACAATTTTCCAGTTGAGATTGAGATTTTCAGGAGGCTTTCATGCAAAGTAGAAGGAGAAGATGTAATTCGGCTGCCAGTAGTAGTCTGACGGGAGTTTCGGTGCGGTTCAAGTTTGTATGCATCGCCTGCCTGAAACTGAAAGCCGCTTTGAAAGACACTTATTCTGGGCAAGTCGCAGCGTGGTGCTTCTTTGCTTATCCAGTATGGATTTTCTAATAATTTCAGTTTGAGATGAGTTTAGCTTAATTATCTAACGTAGTCTACCGGTTATAAATTATTAAAGAAAATACACAATTTATAACTTATTAAACTGTCACATTCAGCCTATTTGAAACGTAAATATAATTATTACATAATTATAATAATTAGTAACATGCTTTTAAAAAAAATGTTTATACTTTTTATATTACTTTTATCGGTCTAATTTTGTTATTTATTCAGTTTTATTTTATATTAAGGACTCAAAATTATTAGGTTTTCTTCAACTTTGGCTGAAAAATGTTGGTCAATAATAATTTTTAAATAAATAATTAATAATATAATCCAGTTTCCGGTTTATTTTATAATAAGGATTATAATTAATTAAATTGAAACATAAACTGAAACTCAGATGATCTTTAATTGTTTGAGTGGTGTAAGATGCTTCAGGAAATAGGACTAATTTAGAACTAGCATTATTGACACTTATCAAAACGTGTGATTCGAGCGTTTAATACCGGTGAGCATTCTCCAAAATAATAGGCAGGGACTCGGAAGTGCTTGAAACGGCGTTAATTGTTGAATAGATGTCCCAACTAGTTGTTGAACTGTTATAAGTGGAAGTTAAGGTCAATGTCCCACTTTACCTAACGATATTTCTTTCAATATTGAATTCCTGGCAGGTAGAATGACTGGTTTTAAAGTGATACAGTGACCGACAATTCAGATTAGGGCTTTCCTCCAAGGAGCTTTGGTAGCCAATATAACTGTCTCATGCATGGGACAACCCCTAGGGTCTTCGAACAATCACTTTCATGTTAAACCTGTCACAGAATATCAATCGAGGGTACAGAATAAACAGAAAAATAAAACGGTGAAACAAAGAGAATAAAATGAAAGTAAAACAAGATTTTCTCTTTTCCACAGCTCAAGATATTTACACAGAATTTGCATTGAGTCAATATTTAATTCGCTCTATTATGTAGCGTTAATTTCAAGAGCTGCGAACGACGATAAGCGAAACGATTCTAAACTTTTTTCATAATTTAAATGTCTGTACCCGTTATGTCAACATTGATCCCGTTTATGTAAACAGCGGAAGAGAAAGAAAACACCACCGAGTGGAATGGAAGCAGTGTGTAATTAATGGACAGGTTCATTGTATGTTTTAAAGCCGCTTTCGTGAGGATTATCGTATAACCCCCTTGTTTTGCATTACAATCAAACGTAATCTGCTGAAACACATCATTAAAATATATTAATAATAGTTCAGTATGAAATTAGTTAGTTGAGGATTATTGATGCTACGAAATACATGTTATTTTCATAGGAAATTATGTGTTTTGTTGAAATTAGTTATTTTATTGGAATATTATATAATTAATCCAAATCAGCTTATATATATTGATGTTAAAATAAGTATAAAAACATTTGTCAGAATATTTCAACTCATCAAATTTTTAATGAAAATGAAACTATTATTTTAAAAAAAGCAATATTTGAATTAGATTTTTATCTAAATTCAATTTGGATTTATGTGCCTTCAAAAATCAGTTAAAAATTCCAAATATCCAAGTTTTAAAGAATGTAGAACTGTTGAAGTTTCTTTAGAAAATATATGATTTTTGTAGTAAAATTGAAAATATAGGTTGAAGGTAATTTTATGTCTTCGAAAATGAGTGGAAATTTAAATTGAAATATGAAAACTTTCAAAATATAAATGTTTGAAATAAAATGAAAGTATTGAAGATTCTTAAAAAAAAATATATTTTTGTGGTAAAATTAAAAATTCAAGTAAAATTTAGTTAAAGATAGAAATCGGTTGTATTAAAACTTTCAAAATATGAACGTTTCAAGAATATAAGACTAGATTTATATGAAAATTTAATATTTTTGTGGTATAAAGTTTGTGCTTTCAAAAATCATTAGATAATTATATTGATGTATTAAAACTTTCAAAATATTCATGTTTTAATAAATGTGAAACTATTGACAATTCTTAAGAAAATAATAATAATAGATTTTGGTTATATAATCAAACATTCTAGTAAACTTTAGTTGAAGATAGTTTGTGCCTTCAAAAATCGGTAGAAAGCTAAATTGTTGTATTAAAACTTTCAAAATTTAAACGTTTTAAGAATATAAGACTAGATTTATATGAAAATTTAATATTTTTGTGGTATAAAGTTTGTACTTTCAAAAATCATTAGATAATTATATTGATGTATTAAAACTTTCAAAATATTCATGTTTTAATAAATGTGAAATTATTGAAGATTCTTAAGAAAATAATAATAATAGATTTTGGTTATAAAATCAAAAATTCTAGTAAACTTTAGTTGAAGATAATGTGTGCTTTCGAAAATCAATGCAAAATTAAATCGAGATATTCATAAATGTGAAACTATGGTATATTCGTAAGAAAATATAAGATTTTGGTTGTAAAATAAAAAAATTGCCGTCGAAAATCAGTTGAAAAGTATTAAAACTTTTAAAATATAAACTTTTTAAAGAACTATTATTGAAAAAAATAAATAAAATGTATGTGGTAAAATTAAAAATTTAAGTAGGATTTAGTTGCGCTGTCTGAAAATCTACGGAACAGAATCCGCAAGTAAGGATTTGCTGCGGCGTTGAAAATCCCAAGATATCACGGTTTTTGGGGATTGCTTGAAATTGCGAGGGCTGCTATAATCCGCGGATCGCATTTAAGTGCATAATTAATAATTTACAGTGTGGCTCTGTTGAAAATGCTTTCATCTCAGATGCACCCTCATAGACATTAGCGCTCTTGTCTCTTGTAGAAAATAAAAGATTGAGAATCGGGAGGAGAAAAACAGTATGAGGAATGGTTGGAATCCGGTTCGCATTATGGATGTAAATTATTAACGCCGCTCTCGCGCTACCAAAGTGAATTAATATCGTGGACGTGGCATAATTAATTTATGGACTTCATTAATTTCATAAACTTGCGTTTACATTATTCACGCCTCATCAGTTTGACAATGTCAAGTTTAACACTTGCAACTATCTACTAAAAACAACAATCAAATCATCATTTCAATATTCCCAACGATTTAACCATTCGTTACGTGACGTTTTTGAGATGACAGTGGATATAATACCAATCATAACTTTTAATACTGATAGAGTCATACTTAGTAGAGTCTATCAGATACCACGTGAATAGTCGTTTTACAATATTTACTTTATCATTTTAGAAAAAAGGCATGTTTTAGAGGACAAACAATCAGAAACAAACTTTTTATTTACATTTTATAAAATAAACATCTAATCAATTATATATTTATATAAATTAATTATTAATGTTATATTTAACGGAGTTTTTGAGGCGCCAAGCGAGTACCGATGTTACAAAATGGGGCGCTAGTAACGGAGAGTTAAATATATATAAATGTGTTCTTTTGTTTTATTTTTCATTGTCTTAACCACCTCAAAACTTAATTAATACAAGTATAGTGTATTTAAGAACTATAGGGTCGAAAGACCTAGGTCGTTAGCCCTTTGGCCAGCCTATTAATATATATTTTTTATTATTGTATGTTATAATTTATTTATGTATAAATTGTACTTTTTTTTCTTCTTCTTATGTATTGATGTTTGGCCAATAAATTATTATTATTAAGAACTATAATATTATTATTAGAAATTGTATTTTTTTAATTATAACTAAATAATAAAATGATTGATTGAAAAGTATTAATTATTAAATGTCATTTTTAATTAGATGATATTTCATTCGGGTAAACATATTTCCATTTATTAATTAAATATATACAAATGATTTATCACCAAAATGTGTTGAATATTAAGTAAATAAATTGGAACCATATTGAAATGTGGAAACAGAAATAATATTTTATATGTATGTATAAAATAGTATATAAAAAATTTCCTTATTCCAATATTTTATTCACTTGTAATTATTTTTTATATTAATAAGGTAAGTAATTTGTAATTAGTTAAAATTTGAAATTTTGTTATTTTTTGCAAATTAAACAAAAATTAAGTACAAAAAAATTGGAAAATATTAAAGATCTAACGACCATAGTAGATCTTTCCTCGTAGTATTTTTTATATAAACATTTTTATAAGTTGAATGTTTTTGGCCAAGACAGAAAAAAAGAAAATAAAAACAGAAAAAACTAAATAAAAGCATAGAGCGGAACAATTTCCCATCGGAAATCTTCCTATAAACAATTATAAATGTACCTAACAAGAAATAATTCGATGACAATAACAACCCAAATAAAAATTGATTTTGACGACACTATGAAACTTTAAACAATAAAACTAACTTTTATTTTCTAAAGGGGAGGTCGAGAGTGTTGTGTCTCTTTAGTCTGTGGGGGGGTGTCACTATTGATAACGCGAGACCGTTGGTGTGGTTTTCCAGTCTGTTTTGGTAACGGGCACTGAATATGGGGATTTCACTCTTAACAGTGTTCATGTGTACAAATAAATAAATATTAATAATTATATAAAAAATATATGTAAATGTATTTTAAATGAAAATAATTAAAAGCAGCCGATTTGTAATTATAATTTATATTTGTATATTATAAAATAAATATATATATATGAAATAAAATCAAATGAAATTGACTTCGCTTAAAGCAAATCAGTTTATAATTATTATTCGTTATTGGCGGACACCAATCAACTGCGAATTGTAAAATGCATTCCAACTGATTAATGTTGATGTAAATAAATACCCAAACGGTAGGGAATTATTATTTTATAGCCAAATTTTATAGAAAGTGCGTCGACAAATCCGATAAATATTTGATTAATAAATAATCATTTCAATTAAATCATAAAATATAAATTCAATTTTTTTATATTGTTTACAGGAAAATCGGCTGTCTTTTGACAGTTTTCTTCAAATATATTATGCTAACTTGACATACATTTTTTCACTTTGGCATCAATTAAAACTAGAGATATAAAATGAATACACATTTGGTGGATACGCCAGGCTTTTATTCCGTTTTTCATATACAGGTATAATTAAAATGTCTTATTATCCGTGTATTGCTTGAATTGGTCTTTTTAATACCATAGATTCTAAAAGTTAAGCAAGATGGATGACCCATATTATACTTTGGGTATTTCCTAAATGATAACTATGGTAGCATCGTTTGGGGGATTTGACATGTTGTTCTTCCATAGTTTAGTAAGATGGGTGATCCATTTCTTAATATTAAGGCAATAAATTAGAATGATTCCAGTAAATAATATATATTTTTATTGTCAGGGAATGTACATTATAGCATACTTTGGGTATAGGCACAATTTGCAAATAGAAAACTATGGTAGCATAGCTTGGAGATTTGATATGTTTTTGTTCCATAGCTTTTAAAAGTTAAACAAGATGGATGACCCATTGGTTAATATTGAGACACTAAAGTAGAATAGTTTGTATAAAGAAAGAGTATACGCATTGTCATATAACCTGATGGTTAATAGTAAAAAAATATCTCCTAACAAAACTTTAATTTGATTTTTGTCCACACATGCAGAAAAGTTTGCAAATTTGTATGTACGCAAGGTATCCATGATGAGCACATAATCAATACATATTTTTATTACGCAATTCGCCATCTCCCCTACTCAGCGAGACGGTGATAGTTGCCTGGGTAACATCTTTTTCATCCAATTTTAACAACCAATCATCGTGTTTCTACGGTATGAATAAACTTTCACGTAATCTGCGTACCAATAAATTCTGTTAACCGAGAGAGATGTATGCTGCAGGCGGGCTGTCCTGCATTCGCGCCGCCCCCAACTAACAGGGGAACAAAGGAGGTGGCAGGACATGCAGCCGCCCACGTGACATTTATATAATCAGACATCCGGTACGTGCATTTCCCCCTTTCACGCTCGTGTTTATACAATTTTATCGATGTAGTAGTATTTATGTCCTGTGTCCTGCTCGAGGCTATCCGAAGAACTAAAAGATACAACCTCCTCCAATGAAGACATTGGTAAGTCAACTTTATGAACTTATTTTATTAAATAACTATTAATCAATAATATATCACTTCAAAATATTTCATCCCTACAAGGATCACGAGGTGCTTCAATATTATATATTACATATTGACAGGATTAGTTTTTCTAGGAAATATTCAAATAGTTCAATTAGTTTCTTATTTCTTATTATTATCACCCATCCAAAAATTGTCAAAAACGCATTTTGTTTAATTATAAATGTAAAAAATATTATTATTACATTCTTATTTTTTCTTTTCTTTTGTTCTTAAAACTTATTTCTTATCTTCTTAAAATCTGAATACTTGTACAAATTAATAAAGTTTTTATTTTAATATAATTCATATTTGTTTGTGTGCCAACAAATGATTATATAAATTTCTTATATGAAAAACATGTCCAAAAAATATATGAAAAAGATCTTCTTAGATAATTAATTATTTAATTAATAAAATCCATTAAAACGTACTGAATTGATTACAGAATACTTATTTTTCATAAATTATTAAAAAGCGTATAAAAAATTTAATACAATTTTATTTTTAATTATCCTTCGAAATTTAATCATAAGAAACTTATAAATATTTAATGGAATACTCAGAAACACATTAATAATTTAAATCAATAAAAAGTTATTAAATATTAATTTTCATATGTAAATCAATAGCATTTCTTATACAGTTTCAACTTTTTGTGTGATATATCCATCACAATTTTTATGTAATCATCCAAATTTCTATTGTTATTATTAATAGACTTAAATATATTAAAAAAAATTACAATAATGAAAAAATAAATAATAAATAAATTTGTATTTTGTTAAGTTATCGATAAAATTTGTTGAAAGGTATCTCAGGATTGCAAAAAGACATACTTTGTTTGTGAAATTGAAAAATTTACTGAGTTGCTGAACTTTTCGATCTGAGTGGTCTATACCTCAATAGCAATTTCTGAAGTCGGATGGCCATAGATCCTTGGATAACTTTCTTCAAGTGTTTTCGTGAGCCCCCCAATAATTGTCAGCGCTCAGGAACATATGCACAAAGTTACGCAATCGGGCGGGACACGCGCGACGACTGGAATAAGAAGTGTCCTCCGGGATTTATTCTTCTTGCCGGGCAACATTCTGTGAAATTTAGCCAATAAACCCACCCTCCGCATCTTTTCGGAACTTCTGCACAACCCCAAAAATAGCGGGGATTTCATCCTCCCCAATAAAACGAAAACGAAGAAATAACCGCATACAAAGTATACATAACCAATAACTGATCATTAGTTGTTCACTGCTCTTAGTGATGAATTCAATTGCTTTGTCTTAATGCATTAATTTGGATGATCTTCTTAAATCAGTTGAAGGTTTTAGTTCTTATAGTATATAAATATTTTTATATGTGTACAATAAATTATGTTTATTTATTTATTTTTACTTTAAACATTAAATAATCATTACTTAATAATTGACTAAAGTATTATTAAAATAATCCTCGATATGCGGTGATATTTTATAAAACAATATGGATTTAAAGCCGTTAAATCTGCATTGAAAAGTTAATAAGTACAGTTATTTAACTGTATTATTTAAATGCATATTTTGTAGTAATTCTATGTAATAACATAATATTATGGAAGGATTTAAAATAATGTTTTGTTTGTGTTTATATTTTATGAAATATCAAGTATATGAATGTTTTAAAGCCGATTTGAAAGGATAGGAGCTACACTTGAATAATAAATGAAAATTTCCATATTTTATTGCAAGGTAATGTTATTATTATTATTTGTAAGTACCAATAAATAACGAATGATTTTTTTTCTATTAATAAGCTTTATTTGCCCAAACTAGAACCAATAAAAACGTTATAAATAAACTTATTGTTATTAATGTAATTAAATCTGTAAAAATATTTTCTAATTAATATTTAAAATATTTATTTTACAGTATTGAATAATACATTACTGTTTTCATATTTAATTGATCTGTACAATTAATTTAAAATTAGAAACTTTGATTTAATTTTTTTTTTGATTATATAAAAATTTGTGATATACTTTTTAAATATTATTGTAAAAAAATGTTAGCAGGCTAAAATTATTATTTTTTCTTAAATATCTCGTCATAATATACAAAAATTAACAAAAAACAAATCATATTGAACATATTTAATTTTGTCTATATTTTTTTTGTAAAATTGCTTGAAATTAACTGTAATAAAATAACTTGTATTCAACGGATATAAAATAAATGATCTCTGAAGTAGGCGGCACAACATAAAGGATTACCATATTCCCATGTGTATCCACCATAAAGCAATTCTGTTTTCAAATAGGATTGATGTTCGGAACGGCCGCATGAGAATCCCATATTGATAGCCCATTGAGGATTTCACACATAGAGCATATAAAGTATATAAAGCTATACTTCAAAATATTTCAACATAATAATGAAAATACAATTAATTTTCTTTAATTATTTACAAATTTTTATTAGTCCTAATTTGGGTCAAAGGTATCAACTATATTTTTATATAAGTATTACATAATTGGGAATAAAGTCTATTGAAAATTTGAAAGTTTACTGAGTTTCTAAGTAGAATTAATAAATTATCTTTAGGTAATTTAGTTTTAGAATCGTTGTTGAATAAGGATATTAAAGGATTACTCACCGTCGTTCTTCTGCCCTGTAAATTATAAAGAATTAAAAACGAAAGAAAAATGACATATACTATTATTAACTACATCTAAAAGCTATTCTTTGTTTAAATCATTCCGTTATAGTATTTTAGGTAAATCAAATTATCTTTATATGGGTCAGGTAAAAAGAAAAAAATATCTTGTGTTGCTCAGTCTCGAACTTTTTTTTTTCCCTGGACACGAGACAAATGTTTATGGTATTCCCGGGAATTCTCGGCACTAGAGAAATTTAAAAAATTATGGCTGATTTTCAACTATCAGATAGTTTCCGAATTAAATAATTTGTTTATCAGTATGTTGTCAAAGTCTATCTAATAGTGCATATCTCTTCCAAGATCATTAACGATTTTATTAACTTTTGTCATGAGATACTTTATAATTGCGCCAGCTTTCAAATTTTAAGTTTACACATTTTATGAAATTTTCAATTTTTATAATTTCTCGGAGACTATATATTTTTCCAAAATTCCCGGGAAAGGGGACATTTTCATTTCGCGTAGATTAAAAGTGTTGATTGTAATCGGATGGTTTTGTTGGTGGCGGCTAAGAGTGCGATGATTGATGGTCGGCCAGTGGAGAAATGGGTAGGAATGGAGGCGGCTGGAAAGGATTAGCGCTGGAAAGTAATCATCTCGAGTGGGCAAAACTAGTGTGTGTGGGGTGGACCTGATTTATAAGCAAGCCGAACTGCCTTCTACCGGCGGCGGAAGGCATCCACGAAATCGGCACCAAAGACAAATGGTTATTTGAACAAGCCTTACAAGATGTAATCGAAATTTCTTGCAAACATCCGAAGTGTTCGGTAGAGATTGACGAACGAAGAATGAGTATTATAGAATGAGAGAAAAAAATATACAACAAAACCTTTTCATTTCTGTAGACCACCTGTTTTATATACCATATTATTATATTTATATAATCAATCATTTTGTTTTTATAAAATAGTTAAAATATTTAAAGCATGCAACAATTTTTAAATATATATTTATTTTACATAAAAATTATATAAAATTATGTATTGGAATCATAGTTTGTATCTAGTTCCAAAATGAA